AACATATAAGTAATAATTACATTAATCTTTATTAACAAATTAATTTCTGCTTTATAATTTCTATCTCCCAAATTTCTTTATTTTAAAACTATTGCTTCATACTTTCTCTTCTCAAAATTTCTTTATTTTTAAATTTCTGCTTCATACTTTCTATCCCCCAAATTTCTTTATTTTAAAACTTTTGGTTCATAATTTCTATCCCCCAAATTTCTTTATTTTAAAACTTTTGGTTCATAATTTCTATCCCCCAAATTTCTTTATTTTAAAACTTTTGGTTCATAACTTCTACCCCCCCAAATTTCTTTACTCCTAATCTTATTTAAAACAAAATGTCTTTACGTCTATTTAATGACCTTCACCGCTATGATGCGACGACTGACTACAACAAACCTTCCAGTAAACCGTCGAATCTCTGAGACATTGCGCCACAACAATGAAACTCTTTGATAATGAAATTTCGACGAACTCATCGCACGGGAATTTGACAAAATTTCAATTGCATGGCGTGCTGCATTTTTTTATCCGATCCTCATTCGTGACAGGTATATACGCGGTCAGTAAGAACGAAGAGGAGAGCCATTGTGTCCGGGCGCAGTCCATTAATGTCTCTTCTTTCAATAAACAGACCGTAATAAAAACTTTCCAATCTGTTTCACCCATTCAATTCCGAGAATAGACGTCCAGGGATTTATTACCGTTCATCAAGCCACGAGTTCTTCCAGCTAACGATCGGAGATTTCTATCGACAGCTACGAAATGATCGACAACTTTCTACGTATCGTTAATTTAATTGCGCCTCTTCAGAAATTCCGATCTATAACGCAAACACCGCGAGAAAGGGAAAAAGACGGAGAGATTTGTTCCCGCTTGTTAAGTGCAACACATCATCAAAGATTTCTACTGATAGCCTTTGATGTTTCCAGTACGCTCATTGTGGGAGCTTGCCCGTTGAACAGCTAGGCTGCTCCAATTTAACACCAGAGCTGGCAGATGGGTCAAAATGACCTACTTAGGATTACTTCTTTTATGATAATTAACCCCTTCTATAATGTCGTGTCAGACTCGCGAAGAAAATTTCAAATGTACTTCGAGAAATTTAAGTTTCTTTATTCTTAATCTGAATTAAATATTATTTGTCTATTGTAAATGTCTAATGTTTAGAGTAAACGTAAACGAATAAGTATCGAACTCTCTTCTTCTACTACATTCCTTACGATAAAATAGTTTCATCGAGCGCTCGCGAATGAAATCATAGAACAAAGCGTTGAACATATAAAAATTCCTTTCTTAGAGACTAATAAATAAATTGACTCATGAGTGTCCATTTCGAATGAAGGAAAGTATTGAGTAAATTCAGCCTACTGACTTTTAGAATAAAATGGGAATTGGACGATTCGACTGATAAGTAGATCTACCTTTAACCCTTTAGAATCGTGTTTTTCACTAGAAGTATTTAACGTTTTCTAATGAAACTTATACGACATTCTTTGAACCTAATTAATGAGAAGAATTGATAAATTAAAAGACAGCTGTTTTATTGAAATGTTTTACACGTTGATATATTCTATAAAGAAACTTATACATTCTTTAAATCTAACTCAGAAGAATTGATAAATTAAATGACAGCTATTTTATTTCAATGTTTTACACGTTGATATATCATATAAATCTTAATATTATATTATAAGACACTATAATGTTGCGATATCGAATCAAGTGGTGATTGAGAGCAACCCCTCGAGGGTTAACCGATGTTCCGGCTAGAAGTCGAATATTTCAGAATTAGGCTCGCAAGAGAATCGAGCTGTTATCGGTAAAGCGTAAATATGCACGAGTCGTATTCGTTCTGTTCACTTTCTAATCACTGTTGAACCCGAGCTGTTAACCGGCCAATGATTTCGTGCTCGTATCTCCGCTCGTGAATCTACGAACTCTCACTGGTTAATGCGCATCCGAGCCGCGAGTGAGTGTACGGTACCCTGGCCACGTTAATTTAATTAGGATCGCTCTTGAACCCAGAACAACAATCCCAGAGAAGTCTCGAATAATCTGTTTTCGTTTATCGTGCGTGTTCCTAGCATCGATCGGCGATGCAACTGTGCACGCGTCACGGGTTTCCGGAGCTGTTTCGCGTATAATTTGAATAATGGCGAAAGAGAAAGCGTAAGATATCTGTGTCTATTATTTCGTAATCCCTTTGCTGTATCTTTATTTTCATTTGTTAGCGGTAGTTTCTGTGAGATAAAGGCTTAACGATAGATTGATGGATATTTACAGTTTGTTCTATCTATTGTCTATTCTATTCTTCTTAGAAAAACTAATATTTGTTCATTTAGAACTTGGAAATTAGAAGTATAAAATAATTTGTCCCATTGGTTTTTTCGTAAACAGTAAACATTAGAAAAAAACCGAAGATGAGAAGGTTGTAGTATATTTTACTAGCAATATAGTAGCGTATCTAAATTTTATTGTACTTTTAATATTTTTCTAGAAACAAATCTGACCTTCACCTTGTTTTAATTGAATGCTACATATTTGTTTACATTATTATTGGGTACAAATTATCGCAAATGCCCTGTATATATACGTGTAACTGTATCGATCATAAATTGACCCGAATATTTATCAAATAATGATTATAAAAATCAGTGTGAATCGAACTGACGCGTTCTGTAAGTTTACTGTTACGGAGTCACTCACATTATCTACAGTGCTGCGAGGCTCGAGTCGATTGGTCATCGATAAGGTGACCGAACGGTTTTCGCAAGTAGCGTACTCTTCGTAGAATCGTTAACGACTTTCTAGATAAAAAAATCTTGAAGCTCCGATGACTCAGTTAATATACGAATTGAATGCAAATTCTGAAAGGAAAGTCTATCTGCAGGCGTTCATCTAGATATTTCTAGTGCATGTTATTTCTCGGCATGACCGAACGAATTTCGCAGGATATCATCGACACCTTTCTCTGGTTTCGTTGATGGCTTTCGAAATTCTAGTTACTTGATCATTGAATGAAATGCGATAATTCTGAAAAAGTCATTCAATGCAACTTTGATTAATTGGACTTTTCTGGCAAGTTCTTTCGATGCAATTGAAGTTATTCTTCGTAGAATCATCGACTGCTTTCGATATTTCGAAAGACAGTTTTCAGAATTCTGTGCTAATAGATTCTAGTCGACAACAGTAAAATTTATCAAAACCTATCGACGTTCGATTCATTCTGAGTAAATTCCAATCAACAGTACTAAAAATGTATTGAAACTTATCAATTTTTTATCAACGAAGATTTTCCACATTTTCGCCAATATTTCTCAAAATTCAACAAAGAAGAAACCTCATTAACCAAACATCTAATCAAACCATTATTCGCATATCCCCTTCATCGTCAACAAAAATACAATATCGTCAATAAATAATTTACCACATGATCAATATAAAAACTCTGAACATGTCTACTACAATTCCCAGAATCCTATGAACGGACCCTAATCATCGATCCTATAAAAAAGTCCCCAGGACCTATCCTCATCAATAAAAAAGTCAACCCAACGTGTCTCAGTTTGTCTCCATAATAATCTCTTCCCAGAATCATCAACCTCTCGTGCCCTTCAATATACCCACAGATTAACCCCTTGCCTTGAAACATCGTGCGAGACCTGTGGCGAAGGTCTCAAATGTAGTTCTACAAATATAAATGTCACTCGGTGCAGTCGAATTCGAATGAAACACTTCATTATCAATTAAATCTATTTCTATTATCAGTTATTACGCTTTAAAGCAAACGTGAACATTTATAATATCAGCATGGGTTTTTCGAGAAATTAATAAGTATAAGTATTATTCAATTCTTTCCAATTCAAATGAAATATTCTTCAACTCTCTTGAATTCAAATGAAATATTATTCTCATCAGTTATTACACTTTAGAATAATTGCACTCGACAAATGAAGCCGTAGATGCAAAATGAAATTTAATTTCAATTTGGCGAGTTGTGGACGGATAACGTAATTTGAATTCGGCGATATCGATGATACATGTTACGCGTGTAAGCGATGAATATTTTTTATCTCACTTTTTATCTGCCACCATATTAATGATTAACACGATGACGATCATCGACATCGACGGTCAGCCGAAACCGAGATCCCGAACGATTCGCCCCTTTAATTAAACTTTCTCCCTTTTCGACTATAAATCATAGGGCAAAGGGTTAACGACAAAGTAGTCCTATCGAGTACAGTTTCGAAAAAGCTCGTAGGTCAAGAGGTTAACCAACAATCAAACTCAGACCGGTCCCAATCGAATTCGTCGTATCAGACACCTATGATCATCGTCCCCTAGCAGGGGTTGAAAACAATTACGATATCGGTTCCAGTTCTTGAAACGGTTATAGAGACCCGAAATAGAGTAATAACTGTTATTAAGTAAATCGGTTTCGGTTTTTCGGAACAGACGGTAGACCGAAGAGAATAGGATCATTCTGCGTTTGACAGTCGAAAAGTAAAGATACTTGAACGCTAATAATATAAAATAGACTCTTTAACGTTTCCTTCGCCAATAAGAAGCAGAAAGTGAAAAATATAGTCTGCAATACGACAAATACAAACTGGATCTTCATTTTGATCCAGTTTACCCTATGCTCCGATTCGCTTCAGTCTCCATCGGTTCTGTACCGGTTCCATAACTATTACTTTCCGCTTCTATATTTCTCGTAGGACATAACTACCATCCTTCTATTCTGCGTTTCCCGCAGAATCAAACGAATACCAGTTACAAAACCAATACGATACCGAAAACCGTCATCCCTAATAACAGTTACGCCGCCTCCACTTCGATCCTCCAGCACCATTCCGGCCAGAGCCCATAAACAACAGCGTCAAACAGTTATTCTCGGAACCCTTTCAATCCCAGTTCCCTATCCCACATGATCCCTGCGTCCTCTATCCTCACCCCGAAACAATCGACCACAGTAGCTAGTCACCGGTTTGGTGAATCCTTACCAATGACCCGGCTTCCGGGCTCGCTCGCGATCGGTGAACCCCCGTCGCTGCCTGGACACCATCCTCTCCCGATCCGCCGTCAAGATGATACAGCGTGACGTCACTGGTCGCGATAACACTCGCTCGGAGACTCACCAAAGTGACCCGCTCCTTCGACCACCCTCCTCCGGTAGACGCGTGTGTAACTGCGCGCGCGTGTGCGTGCGTGCAAGTACCTACGTGCGTGTACCCTGTCCTGTGATCGATAATTAAACACGGTCCAACCGGCAAACGGAACTTTCACTTCCGGTCGGTACACTAAAAAGGAACAAGCCGCAGCTCACCAAAATCGGAAGAACACTTTGTTTTTGTTGTTTTCAACTCTTCATTCGGCCGATTGCAAAGGGGTCGCAGCGAGTTTCGGGGTTGATACAGCGACCGATGGCGCGTGTGCACATGCGACGGATTATTGTTGCACGCGCGATACGAGGATTCACGACGATTTAAAAACGAACGAACGAACCGACGGCGAACGGCGCCGTGACGCCAGTCGGCGACACACTGCCAGCCGGCGTCGCGACGACACGTACAGGGACGCAACTGCTGGACGTGGCCGGCGAGAGGAGACACCTAACCAGCCGGCTTCTAGCTAGAAGGTGGGGGATGGTTAGGGGGCGATAGGCGCCGCGCGCGCCTGCGCACCGGCGCTCGTTTGTTCAGGTTCTTGTACGCGCCGAGCGGTTCTTTTCGCTTTGATGGGCTTTTTCCGAATTTTTCATTGCCATTTAACCCTTAGCACTCCAGGTTGTTTTGTAATCTATCGCAACTGCAACTAATTTTTATGGTATTCCTAGCGAAAATGAGAAATGCTATAACATTTCTTCGATCTTTTATCTTCCTTCTCAGTACAAAATTTGGATGTGTGGAAAATTGAATAATTTTAGGGTAGTTTCTTTAAGATTCATTAAAATATTTAACATTATAACTGGTGCAATATTGGAGCCTACAGAGTTCAAAGGGTTAACTCTCTATGGGCCGAATTTTTGTTCATGATTATAACAAAATCTATGCAGTACAAAATTAATAAATATCCATATACGAATACGAATTAAGAATCTATACAGTAGTTCCAATAATTTCATCAAACGAATATATTTTGTAACTTTCAAGTTAAAATGACGTTAAACTTTCACGCCTGAGCGTACGAAAGTTGAAGTTAACTGATTACTTAATTTTATTCACCACTTCCAGTGCAAACTGAAATAAACCAACAAGACGCCAATATACTGATATGTGACTTCAAAGTTACACGAGCCTACAGAGGGTTAAGTCTTTGGGATTAGGCAGGTTAAAAACTGTCCCGACCTTTGCTTAGCTCTTTGTGCATGGTGGAATATAATTTAATCCACCTCGAAAAATTGTAGTGACTGATAGTCATACAGTTTAATATTTTATTTAAGATTTTTCATCCACTTGGCAATGCTGTAAACTAAATAAATGCGTAAATAAGTGAACGCAAAAGTGTATACATGTCAAAACGCATCAGTAAGTTGTTGAGATTGTTGTGATTAAGGTTGGCGAATTGTGCGGCGTGGTGAATTCTGTGCAGCTGGGGTTGTTTTCTTACTTAAAATCGTGTGCCTCAAAGAGTTAACACGTCAACCGCTGTGTCAGTCACCAGTGATCGACGCTTCTGGATTACTTGACAATCGTAACGTGCGAGATAACGTCGAATGAGAATGTTTAATAACGTAACTAAGATTTTTCTTGCTGTGAAAGAATAACTCTACGGGAAATTGATTGAGATTCGCATGGCGTTTAAGAGTTAACTGGGGTTTAGACTTGTGTTGCTACTTAGGATGTAGTATGAGTCCCTGGCGTGTATTGGGGTTATTTGTTTAGTTTGTTGATTGCACGTTGCATCATTGTATATTTCAGTAGTTGGACTATTGAAGCGACTGAATATATAGAATTTAAAAATGTAGGGATGAAAATTTATTGTCTCATTTAACTATAATTCTATATAGTTAAGCGTTAAATGTATTAATGAATTTCACAGGGCACTTTGGGTTAAAACATTAAGATACATTTGTTATATTCTCTATCATAACTTCCGTCTCGAGATCCTATGCACCGATGAATCGACACCGGAAGTGTAACGGTCAGTGAAAGTTTCTGAGCATCAATTAGTTAAAAATAAAGACTACTAAATCACATTCTCTACACACCTCTGTACAGTTTTTATAGTCCGCTGTCAGTCCAGCCACACAATAATATATCATTTCTGTTTTCATGGAAGATTATTTACACTTTGCAAAGCCGCAAAAATCGGCACGCTGGAAAGCAGCGGTCTTCCGCGTGACTTCTCCACCTCGGAAGCGCTGAAAACCGCGCGTAGATACATTATTTATCTGACTGCGGTGTCGACACGCGCCGATTATCTCGCGCGGCCGCCGTATTATTCACATTAACACTAAAACTACCAGACAGGTCGAAATTACCTATTCTTGATTTCTTCTCTTCGCAATTGTTGAGAAGATAACTCATGTTTCTCTGAGAAATTATGCAAGAAATTGATTTAGCAATACGTAAACTGCATTTTAAATCGATTAACACTAGAACTACTGAGCACTTAAACCATCTTTTTAAAATTTCTTTATAAAAGCTATAAGCGTGAATCTATTAAGATTTCAATTGGTTTGTATTTCAGTTTAGGCATTCCTAAATCAACTTCTTTAATCATTTCTTAAAGAAATGAGTCTGTACCTTTACAGTAATTGCAAAAGAATTAAGAATTATTTTGACGCGCTTGGTAGTTCTAGTGTTGAAGTCGAGATAGATGCACTCTTGGGGTTTCTATAGAGAAATTACGGAAAGTCGATTCAATTGCTCGATAGTTTTAGCGTTAACTGCACGGGGAAATAGGGATTGACCCTGCGGGAAGACGCTGCCGCGGCATGGGAATCGCGGACTAGGCGCAATAGGACCGGGAAGGTGTAAAGGAAGACCGGCTCGTACAGAGTGTAATGGAAATCGGATGCTGCGCTACTTAATACTCGTGCAACTGAAGCAAATCACGCTGGCCGCGGTGTTTCGATGTTGATATTTTAATGTAGCAACTATCGCAACGTTGCCGGAAAAATGATCTATCACAATCGTCGACGCGAGCGGTACAGGTGGACGTGATCTTTATGTGTCTATGGGTTCTAATCTTGGAGAAATAATAGTGGAAAGTTTTGGTCAGAAGATGTCTTCAATTTGTTGAAACTAATATGTAGGAAATAATTTTATTCGTGATATTGAAATTATTATCTAAAATGTATAACTTTGTTTAGTAAGTGCTTTTATTATAAATAGTAGTCTATAATGGTACTAATAATAAAATGTTTGATAAATTATAAATAATATTTTAAATGATAGTAAATAATAATCCTAATAACAAAATACTTGATAATTGAAATGATTTCATAGAAATGATTAACTCGTTAAGAGTGGATTGGCGAAGGAATTATTTAGATGTTGGGGGGTAGGAAAATATTCCGTTCATGAGAAAGTTCTGTATCTTTCCTTCGTTCTTGTCTTTGTTTTTAAATGTATTCCCATTTATGAGGAAAAGAAGAAGCGCCACTGTTCCAAACGTGACGGGAAGATTGTGGCAAGTGTGGTTCACTCTCCGGAAGGACGGAAAAGATATGAATATTATTAAATAGGTAAGCGAGTGGTTGTCGGAGCATAAACGCTCGCGAAGGTGTAACCGGAGACATGTAAAATTAATATAATCAAGATTGCGGTGGCGATACACGCGTACGTAACTTGGATTGTGTTAATATAGATACGGTGACGTAATGATACGTAAGACGTAGGTGCCGGTCGAACAGAAAAGAAACTGAAAAGCTGCCGAAAGGTGGAGTCGAACATGATTAACGGGTAACCCGTTCCCCCTGGTTAACAGGTTAATGATAAAATAAAGTTTTACGGTCTAGTGGACGCGACGAATTTTGTTGTACATCCAGTAGTATCCTGTATGTACATATTAGAGAAACTGAGTGGAAAGGTTGGCAGCGTTTAAAGGAAACATTGGTAAACGTTAATAACCATTAATACGCATTAACGAACATTAATGAAACATTAATAAATTCGTGTGACTACGTATTACACGCTGACATTCATGATTAATTTCGCCAAGCATACCTTTCCTATTCGCTTAAAATTACACATAAAAATTTAACGCGCAAGAATGATTTCTCCAATCTAGAAACGAGCAATAACTTCTCAGTGGCACTAATGTCACCAAATATTACAGTTACATATATCTTCCCCATTGCATTCCCCACAAAAAGATTTTCCATCAAACAACAATGATTATCAAATGTTAAACTATTTATAACAAAATATCAAGCAACAACAGCAATAATAATAATAATAATAATAATGATATTGAACTATTAATAATAAAATATTAAACAGCAATAACAATAACATTAAATGTTAAATCAATTTCCCCAGTTTCCAAGAACAATTTTCCAATCCACGAAAATCCTATTATTAATAGTTCAATATTATTATTATTATTACTGTTGTTGCTTGATATTTTATTATAAATAGTTTAATATCGAACTATCAATAATAAAATATTAAACAGCAATAATAATAAAATTAAATATTAAACCAATCTCCCCAGTCCCGAAGGACAATTTCCCAATGCACGGAAATCCTAGGAAGAGAAATGACGGAAAAGGTAGAAAAAAGCGGAATAATGGCTCCACCGCCGATTCGCTGGGGAAAAAATTATCACCGCAGATCACGGCCGCGATAATCGCGGTCGTTTCCATAAAAAGTCACGCCAGACTCCGACCTCCCTAACCTGGACAAGGCAGCCGGACAATAAACGCCGACAATGCCAGTGATTCCGCCGCGGCCATTATCTATCATTCCTAGAGCCAGCCTCGCGGAAGACCGCAAAGTGGCGTGCGAGCAACGCGCAGCGTGTATCACCGAACACACGCGTGCGTCCGTCCGTCCGGCCGTCCGGGCGGGCGGGCACAGGTGAAAAAGGAAAGGCCCGACCAAGGGACGCTAAGCTCGCGCTTACAACGCTCATCGAACGTGTACCGACATAAAACCTGTTACATAACTCGACACCGTGCCCGGACACGCCGGTGTTTCTCGGGCCACACCTCGGCGCACGAGTGCTGCCGATCTAAGACCATCGACGCACGGTGTCGATCGTAAAGGCTAGTCCAGACTGGAACCGAATGCAGCGAACATTGGAAGATTGTAACACTCGACCGGCAGGTTGCAATTATACAGGGTGTCCTGCGACTCATGGTCAACTGATTAAGAGGTCGTTCTACATGTAAACATGAGTCCAAAAAATAGAATAAAAGTTTTTCCCGCGAGTTTTCGTTTTCGAGAAAATCGAAGTCGAAAATTTACTCGGTACCTATACATGTCGACTTTGCGCATCTAACTGTACACTCTTGTTTTGTTTCTTAGTTGTATTTAAAGATATAGCAACGACAAAGTGCGGATACCGCTCTTGATACAAACGCGAAGCGGCACTCGAATTACCTTCGTACGCTCCCAGTGCGAGAATCAATCCG